ATTTCCCAAACAACCTCATAGACACCTGGGCCAAAGAGCATTTTGGAGGGATGGCCCATAGATAAAGGGAATGATATCTCTGTGTATGTATCAAGACAGGGAAAGTGGTGGTGATCAATTGGAATGTATTGGAAAGGGTAGGACCTGTGCATGATGTAGATGATATAGAATAAGGGGTGGATACCAACATCATGCACAGTAGCAGGCATTTCTAGGAAGGGTGTGAAATGGATAAACAAGCAAATGTTAAGGTAGTGTCTCAGATAAGATAATGGAGATAAACTTTTGGGCATCAGGAAGAGGAAGGATTTCTGAAAGAAGTCATTGAAATGTGTAATGTAATTTATGTCCAGGTGCCAGTGAGTTTGACGTAAGCAGACTGTATCAAAGAAAATGTTAAATGGAGCTAGGGTGTTAAATAAGTTTCCTATCTTCTTGTGGTCATTAAGGACTTGGCAACTTTTACAAGAGATGGGCAGCTAGTGTTCATGTTGTTGCCTAATCTCAATTCTGATAATTAAGTACAAAGTGACATTGTTTTAGAGCAGAAATATACTGCATTAGACCACCCTTGGAAAAAAATTATATAATGATGGATGTAGTTTCTTTGCATATGTAATCAGTGAAATAGCTTAGAGTCCACTTGTTTCACAGAAAGGGTTATGTAAAGTGTTAAAGTGTTGGTACTTCGGCAAAATGTAGTCCTTTTCTATGTGGTATTGTTTTGGTTTATGTGTCAGCACTTACCTGGAGCATGATCTTCCAAATAGAAATGCTTTGGGCGATGCCAGTTGCAATAACAATAAATGCTTTGCCTGTCCAGGCATAATAGAACCAGCTTCCTTAAGCTGAAATCTCAAACCAAGGAGAGGCTCTGTACTGTACTGAAAACAGGCTAGCAGGTGAAAACATGAAGCTGATTTCTGCTTAGATATGAGTCTATTTGGGCAGATAAATTGCTGTGAAAGTATATGACTCAGTGTTTAGGAAGGGTTTGATTTACCCCTCCTTCCTTCCAGCTACAGCTCTGAATATCCTGTAGAAGTAATGTAAAGTAAGCTCGATCCTAATGTGTTATTTTCCGACGTCTACAGGGATAAGTCTGAATTGATATCTACTGTTGTTTTTTACGTAAGACAAAAAAAATCAGTGAAAGATCCTGGAGACTTTTAGTAATAATAACATAAAAAAAGCCCCCGTGGAATTTCATTCTGATTGCACTTAATATGCTTGTGTTAATATGTACAAAATTTTATTTTCGTAGTCAAGTTTGAATAGGAATTCTCTGAATAAATAAGTATTTTTGTATTGTTACTTAGTTTTCTTTATGTACATTTTGAGCACTTGTTCTTTTGATGCGTATCTATTATAAAAATGAGGTTTGACTAGTCTTTTTTTGGTTATTAATAACTATCAATTCTACTCAGACATGTAGTAATGAGTGTTTTCACAGTGCTGCACGTGTATGAACAGTGTGAGAATATGAGTCAGTTATATGTGAACTAACTCTGTCATTCTGATGTCTAGACAATATCCTTGTTTTAGCATACTCAATTCTGCACATCTCTGGTATCACATTAAACTTTTTGTTTATTTCTTTTTGGTTTTTGTTTTCTTATTGTCAGGTGGCGTGAAGAGATCTGTGGTCATGTGGAATATCCCTGCCGTTTCCAAAATCCTGCTGCCAGGTTGCAGGCAGTCATTCCTTACAGAGTCTTTGCTCCTTGGTGCCTTATGGAATGCTGCGAAGAACGTTTGCTTCGGCTAATTCCTCAGTGCCTCTCTGCTGCTTACATCACACTGGGTACCCACCCCTTTTCCAGGCTTGATGTTTTGATAGTTCCTTCCAACTTTTCCAGCCTGGGAATGGCTAGGTAAAGAAACTTCTTAGCATCTCATCTCCTGTATTTTTTTAGACACCTTTTTATCAGCTAGTTAACAGTGTCAAATTGCTATCAATATAAAGTTGCCCTGCTGTTTTTCTTAAAGCAAACTTAAAATGCTAGATCTGGCTTTGTGTGGGTAGGTTTGTTTGCATCCTTTGTGCTATGATCTTTAATGTTAGTTTTAACAGGGCTCAGGGAAGGAAAATATGCTTATTAGACATGTGGGTCTGAATTTCCTCATTTGCCAAACTGAAGTTGTTTTGTTGGTTCTATTGATTTAAATACTTCATGCTGCTATCATTTTGTCATGTTTTCTTTTGGCGTTGGTTTTACCATTATGTCTTGACAGAACAAGAGCATGTTGTGATTTATGAGTTTCTAGTCAAACACTGGAAGCTGAGTAAGGCAAACTGCAAGGATTATATTATCAAATTTTCATGGAATTGTGGAGAATAAAAAGCTTAATTAAATATTTTTGTTTTGACAGTATAATTTCCAGTTGTGCAATGACAGTAGAATTTTAGCTCTATTAGTTGTTAAGTCAGTGCCAAGCAATTGAAATTCCCCATTTGCTTTTTATTTTTCTTAAAAATATATATATTTTTAAGTTGATAATGAGATCGTGTTTGTTAATAGCAGAGAATGAAACCCTACTTTTATTCATTGTTTGCCTAGTGCTAATGGTAGAGTGGATTTATTTAGGCAGATGGATGAAACATCCAAGGGAAGAATGAAAGGCAAAGCTCTGTTAGAAAGATGAGGACGGAGAGGAAAGGTGTATTCTTGGGTTTTTATTTTGGACCTCTTGGGGAAGTTGTTGAGTAGGTTTGATATCTGAAGCAACTTGCACAAATGGCCAGTCCAAGTGCTTAGATGAACCAGAAGTTTATATTACAAATTTTACTAATTTTATGTTTATTTTACTAATTTTACAAACTGTATAATTAATCAAATAAGGAAACATTTTGTTTCATGCTACATGTTTTGTTCTTATTTACGTAGATTTTTGTTTTTTCCTACAGCTTTCCTCTTGCAATCCTCCTTAGGGATAAAAGTAGAAAATTATGCTGGCATGTAATAATACTGTATAGTTTTTAGTACAAGTTTACTTTTTTTTTTAACGAAGATCTATAAAAATTAAAAGTGAAGCATTCAGTGATCCTCCTCTGTCATATAAGCCTCACTGCTTTGTAAACACCTTGTACTGGTTACTGAGTTTTCAATGATAGCTCTTTGCTCAGTGAACTCCTAAATGAAAGCATCAAAAAACTTATGTGAATCCTGGTTGCTTTGGGCACCTACCACAGACTATGTTCTCTGATGCTTTGCATAGTGGTTTGATTTGGAGGTAAGTGAGATGTTGTCTACCATGTTCTTGAAGCCATATGCGATTGGTAGGGCTGCTGAGCTATTTCCTCTGACTTCAAAGGCATGGTGCTAAAAGGTTGACATAGGTCCTTATGGATCATCACTGTAATTGAGGAAGAAACTGGCCGTTTTACTTAGCTGTGATGAGTGGAACCATGAAGGGCAAGACATACATGCAAATAATACAAAATGAAAGAGAAAGGGGAGAGAGATTTCTAGGCCAAAATGACAGCACGCAGTAGGAGGAATCTTCAAGATTCAGCTGTTGATAGCTACTGCTCTTTGGGAAGTTGTCAGAGCTTCCCCTGCATGTACCTTTCCCAGAATTTATAGGGAAAAGATGCCTGCAGGGTATTCTGTTGCAAAACCATCTGTGGTTATCTAAGTCCAGATTGCATGTTCAGAATATGTAATTGTGCTTTTTCTGTGAAAGAGATGAGAAAGACCTATGCTTTTATTTCCCTGTGCTTCTTCTAACCACTGCCAGTTCCAAGTGATCCATATCATTGAATATAAGTAAAGGATGAAAGAAAAGGCATGCATACTTCCTGATGCTTTTCATTCAACAGTTCATCAAGCCAAGCATATTCAAATTTTTCAAAATTGAAATAAAGGAATAATTTAAGCTGTTTAAATGTCAAGCTGTATTTGGACAGCAAAGGAAATTAAGTGACTCATAATAGCTCGTTTGTTCTTGTTTTGTGTGATTTTTTTCAAATAGAGGCTTCTATGTATATAGCAAGCTACTTAAATGGTTAATTCCTGTGCATGCAATTACTTAAATGACTTCAGTTAAGAATAAGCTGTGTGCAAAACCATGTCCAAACCCACATAAAAAAAAGAAGTTAGCTATTATGTTGGGTTAAAAAGGGTGCTGTAGTATTTATTTTTTTTATCTTCTAGTCTATCTGTAGCAGTATAAACATAACACAGCATGCCAGCACAAAGGGGCTGTTGTTTGGAGAATTCTAATTGTACTTCTGTCTGCCAGGGAAGGAAGCAGTCATAAATTTTAATCATTATCTGAAGTATCAGGGCTTTGCAGCGTTTGGCACTTTTCTTTGTCTGTTCCTCATTAGCCAATACTTACTGTGGTTTTTATATCCCAAAATACCTCCCTTTATTTAAGGGGGATGTTTCCCCAGCATTTTAGGCTGGTATGAAAAGATGATAGTTCTTGCACAGAGTGACCTAATTAGGTGTTTTAAGCTGTCTATTCCAGTAGTTGCTACTGTGGGTCAGCTGCATTTCTCTTGAAGTCTGACAGATGCTGTATGAGAAAAACTCTAGTTGAAAGCATATTCATTTTACTTGTGTTTTCTGTACATCTCCTCCTGTGTTTTTTAATTTGCTATGGACTTCTGTATGGAAATGGGATAATGATGGTATATAATAATTGCAATCATCCCCTCTTGCTTCCTGCAGATCTTTGAAGCTGGAGGATTTAATTTTGTACTGTCTCTTGGTTTTACACTATTTTAGTTCAAGTGATTCAGTATAGCTTCTCCCAAATTTATGCTAGTAAAAGAAGAATGTGGCCTGCATGTCTTTGTTGGTGGTATTATGTTAAACTGTAAAAAATTAAATTAATAAAGCATTGTGGACAAAATTTAAATAGCTTGAAAGCCATTTAAAATGTTAAAAGCTATTCAGTGCTTTCTGTAGAATTTTGAGAGTTTCATGAATACCTAACAGCACTTAATTATCTGATTTTAACTTCTCTCACTAGTAGAAGGGAGTGAATTGGAAGAGAAGGAGTAGGGAAGTGTGTCAGATTGCAAAAACTCTAGAGCTCCTAATTAGAGTGTTCGGGGAAGAGATCCTTGACCTCACACTACACTGAAAGGTGTACATCATTCATGTACTCAGAGCTAATTGGTTAAAAGCAGGAGATTAAAAGTAGCACCATGTTTTGGTGCTGTTCATGATGACATGCTACTACCTGAGGAATTGTCATCCCCATTGGCATTTAAATAGCGCAGTTATTTCACGGTTGCAAATGCCGTCATGTGACCCAGTAGTTACTCATGAATAAAGCTGGCTGAAAGACTTGAAATAAAAAATAGGGCCTGTGCGTTCCGTGGTTGTTCGTGCTCTTCACATCAGTTCATTCCCAGTCCAGTTTTGTTGATCACATTTGAAAACCTACTGTTTCAAAATCTGTTCCCACTGACCTACAACTCAATTGCTTTTCCTTTTGGCAAAACCTGAAGAGACTCTGAATTTCTTGTTCTTTTTCATTCCCTGAGGAAGAACATTCTTTTGAATACAGAGACTCTTAACTTTTTGTGCCACCTGAGCCTGTGCTTGAGACACTGACTTCTCTTGCAGTGTTTAATTGCGTAAGTCCTTGTGGTTTTTTTTTATTTTTCCCATGGAAGTAATTTTTTCCTTGATAACCATCGAGGACCCTTCACAGTCACACCAATCTCTTGTGTTTCTATGGCTTTACAAGCTGCTTACCATCTTTCTACTTCTTCACAGCAAATATGCTGATACTTATTTTACTCACCTGGGGGTTTTAAAGCTTTGTTTGCATTGAGACGAAGTACTTGTTTTGAAACAATGGTCTTCCAAGCTTTTTGTTTCCTGCACACATAGTTTAAATAACACAGGATTACTGCTTTCTCTGTTTGAATTAATGTACTTTGGATGTACTAGTTTTGTCTTAAGTGCTAGCACAGGGAAAAATTCTTAGCCAAGCACTATGTGTCAATAACTTGACTAGTGACATCACGTTGCTGTGAGCTAGAAGAGTATGATGAGAAAAGTGTCCCTTGGTATGTACCACGCTCTTACTTCTTCCTTAAACACTTAGTACTAGTAACTGCTGAAAACAGAATAATGGGATAGATGGACTTCTCATCTTACCTAGTTTGGCTGTTCTTACAGCAATTTTGCCCAGCAAACCTAGCAAGTAAGTGGAACCAAAGAACTTCTGAGCAAGATACTGACATTTTTAAAACAGGATCCCAGTGTTAGGTTATTTGAATCCTATTTAGACTCTAAAATTAGTGGCCTCATTTTCAAGTATGCTGGACACCCTTGAAACCCAAATGATGTTTGTTGAAAGAAACGTAGAGGATGCTTGGCATATTTGTAAATCAGGTCAACTTATATAGCTGGCTAAATACGGATTTAGCAACCCAGCTTCCATTTCCTATTTATAAAGATCTTAGTCATTCTTCTCCTCTCATGTAAATGGTCTTTGGTATTTTAAGAGGAAAGAATATCCCTTTCTTCAGAACGTGGCATATCAGCAGAACTGAGTCTTTCCAGGCCATGTCACTAAGGTTGTTAACTTTTTAAATTGAAAAGGGAGAAGGAAAAAAAAAGCGGGGAGGGGGGGAGTCCAAGCAGCCTCTTTGATCTGTGCGTCTGTAGCCACCATTTATCCGATCTGTGCGTCTGCAGTGTTCTGATGACAACTGATAAATCTATAGTAAAATCAGCCAGGACTATTGGAAAACATCCAAGTGTCAAACCTAAATGTGAGTCTTTAGTATTGTTCAGTCTTGCAGAACTGTGGCTGACTGTTTGTCTCGGCTGTTGAAGCCTTTTGTGAGTGTATACATTTCTATAAACTTTTTTGCACAACATTTTCAGTTGTGTTAATTTGA